GAAGAACACACACCCTCTTTCCTGCCCCTCCCCCAGGCAGGGGAAAGAGATAGACAGAAACGTATTTACATGCCTTTATTTCTGTCTTTGCAGCGTTACAAAAATCATGACTGCTCTCTTCAAGCTCCAGCAGTCGAAAAAGAACAAACACTTCCTGTACTTCCTGTACAGCTCATATTACACTCTGAGCTAATTCCGGTGCTTCGCACTGTGAATAGACTGTCTCTCTGTTTCCCACGGAACAGTCCCAACATTCCCATTATGTTTTGCTTTCAAGCTACCAGCAGCTCGCGGCTGCATTGCTTCAATATCGTAACATACACAACACAAAACACTGTTGCTGTGTGTAGGTTCTATTTTATTTGTTTTTTAACTTATGTCTTAGAAATGTACATCCAGGTTTTTTTTCTTTAATTTTTTTGGTGGCCCCTAAGAGAGAGGGGGCCTTAAGCTATAGCTTGTTTAGCTTATACGTAAATCCAGCACTGCACCAGGGTAAACTTCATAGAAGTGCATATATTATGCATAGAAAATGCCATGAAAAAAGCTCATTTTATAGGGGAAATTGCTTTAACAACAACAACAACAACAACAACAACAACCAATTTTATTTATACCCCGCCCTCCCCAGCCAAGACCGGGCTCAAGGCAGCTAACACCAAATATAAAAACAATTGATTGAAATACAGCTTTAAAAACAAGATTAAAATACAACACTAAAACATTAAAATGCAGCCTCATTTCAGTGGAAACTCAATCAAAAACGTTTTTGAGATGAAAACGTCAAGTCTTCACCAAGGCTAACTATCCAGACTGGTCCTACATAGGCCAGAAAAAAGCCATGGAAGTCCCCAAATGGGAGTTTTCAAAAATGTACATGTTAGGAGAGAGAATTGTAGCTGAGAATTGTAGCTCTGTGTGGGGAAATGGAGTAGCCTAAGAGCTCTCAGCACCCTTAACAAACTACAGCTCCCAGGATTCTTTGGCGAGGGGAAGCCACGACTCTTTGCCACGACTCTATGCATAGTGCAGATGGGACTTCAAATTGCCCCATCATCTTTAATCTACCTTTCCGTGCTTCCACCTACAGAAGCCTTGATTCTGCCTGACTTACTCAGTTTCCTTGACATTTGCCTCCTTTGTCAGGCTGCTGTTTAAATGTCAAGCGCTCATTTCCTGGTTCTTCTCCAAAGACCTTTGTATAGGGCAAACTTTATTCCTAGCGGACATCAGAATGTGGGAATACACCAGAAGTGGTCCAAGAAGAAGCATCTAACTTGAGTGTGATCTGCAAGGCAAGTTCTAGGAGTTAAATGGTTTATTAATTTTCAGGGAGGAGACTCTAAGCATAAACATTTTCAAAACAATTGGTTTCCCACCCCCACAGAAGACCAATGCATCAGATTTTCCCATAAATCTATATGTGTAATGGGTGATTTACGATTACAGTGGTGCCTCGCAAGACGAAATTAATCCGTTCCGCGAGTGTCTTCGTCTAGCGGTTTTTTCGTCTTGCGAAGCAACCCTATTAGCGGCTTAGCGGATTAGCGCTATTAGCGGTTTAGCGGCTATTAAAGGCTTAGCGGCTTAGCGGCTTAGCTGCTAAAAGGCTATTAAAGGCTTAGCGGCTTAGAAAAAGGGGGGGGAAGCGGAAAAAAATCTCAAGACTCGCAAGACATTTTCGTCTTGCGAAGCGAGCCCATAGGGAAATTCGTCCTGCGAAGCGCATTGAAAAACAGAAAACCCTTTCGTCTAGCGGGTTTTCCATCTTGCGAGGCATTCGTCTTGCGGGGCACCACTGTATTTGAAAAACTGAATATTTTCTAAAAGGATGCCGTATTTCAACAAAATTGTCCGTATCAGATGCATCCTTCAGTGCATGTACTTTCTTAGCTAGTTTGTTAGATTGTCCACACACTCTGTTTCCATTATGTGATGTGTAGCTCATCATGCCCTTTCCAGTTTCTGCTATAAGTAATCATGCGGGTAGCGTTGTGGGTTAAACCACAGAGCCTAGGTCTTGCCGATCAGAAGGTCAGCGGTTCAAATCCCTGCTATGGGGTGAGCTCCCGTTGCTCAGTCCCAGCTCCTGCCCACCTAGGAAACCACATCAAAGTGCAAGTAGATAAATAGGTACCACTCCAGCGGGAAGGTAAACGGTGTTTCCGTGCGCTGCTCTGGCTCGTCAGAAGCGGCTTAGTCATGCTGGCCACATGACCCGGAAGCTGTCTGTGGACAAACGCCAGCTCCCTTGACCTGTAGAGCAAGATGAGCGCACAACCCCAGAGTCGTCCACGACTGGACCTAATGGCCAGGGGTACCTTTACCTTTACCTTTAATCATGCCGCTACCAGAAGAAAGGTGATAAGTTCCTTGTTGCCGTAATTTGAGTATTTTAAAAAATTGTTAATAAACCTAGGCATGCATTGCATTGCGCTGTATGTCCCAGTTCGTAATTTTCTTTATTTCTGTAAATACCCTTTCCCCAAAATGGTTGCACTAATTCCCATGTCCGCCACATATGGAAAGTCATACCAATTACCTTGCACACTCTCCAGCACGCTGCAGAAGATACTATGTCTGCCGAGCTGAGTCTTACACAACTTAGATGCCATCTATGTATTAACTTATAGGGACACAGGTGGTGCTGTGGGTTAAACCACAGAGCCTAGGACTTGCCGATCAGAAGATTGGCGATTCGAATCCCTGAGACGGGGTGAGCGCCCGTTGCTCTGTCCCTGCTCCTGCCAACCTAGCAGTTCGAAAGCACGTCTAAGTGCAAGTAGATAAATAGGTACCACTCTGGCGGGAAGGTAAAAGGCGTTTCCGTGTGCTGCTCTGGTTCGCCAGAAGCGGCTTAGTCATGCTGGCCACATGACCCGGAAGCTGTACGTCGGCTCCCTCGGCCAATAAAGCGAGATGAGAGCCACAACCCCAGAGTTGGTCACGACTGGACCTAATGGTCAGGGGTCCTTTTATGTATTAACTTAAATGCAGGTTTATGTTGATTTTTTGAGGGGGGGTGGGGTGTCCATAGAGTGCTGCAATCTGCTGCTTCAATTCCTGTACCTGGGTCCTTTTCCCAATTTTATTAGCCGAGCGTTGTCCAATGGCTAAGTCAGTGAGTGTTTTGTATAAAATCAACAATATTTTGGAGGGAGTGTTCAGTTTTTCAAATGGTGTGAATGGTCTAATTGCACGAGATTTAACTGTTGAATTGAGATAAGATGTATCCCCTGATAGATTAAAAGCCGATTCACATTTCACCCCTCAGTTCTTTCCATGGCTTGGCCTGCTGGAAGAGAGATATCACTTTCATAAAAGCGCATGAATCTGCACGAGCCTTTTTTCTTTCCATTTCATATCCATCGATTTTCTATCAGCTGTGTAAAAGGGGAAGTGAAGTGCAAAAGGAACCAGTGGTGATATAGGCAGTGTTAATTTTGATATCCGGGATTGACAGATCTTTAATTCTGCTTTTGCAAATGGGTTTGTTATCATTTCTAAGAGTTTTGTTAAACGGGAGGCCTGTGTCGCACGCATTCATCAAATTCCAATTGTATCCAAATCTTCTCTTTTACGCTATCATACGAATGACATTTAGTCTATGGGCTGCATCATAGTATCTTTCCAATTGTGGTAGACCCATTCCTCCTCTCTGGAAATGTTGATACAGAATACAGTTAATTGCAACCAAGGTCTCTCAGCAAGGAGCGTCTCCACCCCCATCGTTCAGCTCAGACACTGAGGTCCAGCTCTGAGGGCCTTCCGGCAGTTCCCTCACTGCGAGAAGTAAAGTTAAAGCAAACCAGGCAGAGGGCCTTCTCGGTAGTGGTGCCTGCCCTGTGGAACGCCCTCCCATCAGATGGCAAGGAAATAAACAACTATCTGACTTTTAGAAGACACCTGAAGGCAGCCCTGTTTAGGGAAGCTTTTAATGTTTGATGTTTTGTTGTGTTTTTAATATCCTGTTGGAAGCCGCCCAGAGTGGTTGGGGAGGCCTAGCCAGATGGGTGAGGTAAAAGTGTTGTTGTTGTTGTCTTTCTCCAAAACAGAGAATGGCCTTCAGAAAGGCTATTTGAAAGCAATACTAAATCTGTGCAGAGAAATGTAGGAGGCCCCAGGAGACAAGACTGGAGAGGGAAGAAAGGGCTGATTTGATCTGGTAGCTATAGTTCATCATAGGTCCAAGCTATCACGGCTGTCAAGGAAGGCTATCAATGGTTACAAGCCATAATGGCTGTTATCTCTTTCCGAAGGTGGAGGAAGCAATGCTTCTGAATACCACTTGCTCAGAATCCCATGTGGGGAGAGTGTTCTTGCGCTCAGCTCCTGCTTGCAGGATTCCCATAGGCTTCGGTTTGGCCACAGTGAGAACAGGATGCTACACAAGGCAGATGTTGGCCTGATCCATCACTCAGACTCTTCTTATGCTGGGGGGGGGGGGATATGGCTTGGTTTGACATGAAAGAGTTTCTCTTCTTATATAAAAAGGAAATGTAGCTGTGTGGGCATGTAAGAGAAATTCAGAAATCCATATTAGGGCAATGCCTTTATTAAGGCAAAGGTAAAGAGACTTCTGACCATTAGGTCCAGTCGCAGACAACTTTGGGGTTGCGGTGCTCATTTCGCTTTACTGGCCGAGGGAGCCGGTGTACAGCTTCCGGGTCATGTGGCCAGCATGACTAAGCCACTTCTGGCGAACCAGAGCAGCGCACGGAAACGCCGTTTACCTTCCCACCGGAGCGGTACCTATTTATCTACTTGCACTTTGACGTGCTTTCGAACTGCTAGGTTGGCAGGAGCTGGGACCAAGCAACGGGAGCTCACCCCGTCGCGGGGATTCGAACCGCCGACCTTCTGATGGGCAAGCCCTAAGCTCAGTGGTTTAGACCACAGCGCCACCCACGTGGGATGCCTTTATTAGGACCAGCCAAAACGTCACGTAAGCAATGTGTGCAAGCTTTAAAGTCCTCCAGATCTCTTGGAAAAAAACCAGCCCTGCTGGATAGCTCAGTTGGTTAGAGTGTGGTGCTGATAATACCCAGGTCGCAGGTTCAATCCCCATATTCCTGCATTGCAGGGAGTTGGAGCAGATGGTCCTCAGGGTCCCTTCAACTATGATTCTATGAAACCAGGTCAAAGGGTAGTGAACTTCTTTCAGGCTCGAGTCCCACATTCACTCCACACGTTGGCAGTGGGTGTAGCTCAGCCTAGGTGTGGCCATCAGACACTCCTGCATTCTTACTGTTGCAGAAACTTCACAGAGGCCAATTTAGGGCAGTGCAACCAATTCCACCGCCCTGGGAGATGCTGGGCGACGCAGCTATGAAGTGGCAAATTAAGCAGAACAGAAGGCCAGAGATAGGTGGGGCACCGGATTTTGCACAGGGCACCACTGAAATTCAAAAGACCAGTCCACCCTTGCGATTCAGATGATCTGCACAAATATGAGGAGGGAGGGTTTGTTCCCTCTCCAGTCGTCCGTCTGATGACTGCAGAAGAAGCCATTTGCATCCCCATCAAAGTGCTGGTCTCAGCCCACCATAGCACTGCATCTATGAAGTGAAGGACATGAGACAGGAGTTGGTAATGCAGGTGAGCTGTGCATAAGCAAGCTGCCAGCTAGCTCTGCGAAGGCTCTTTTTATTAGCACAATATGCAAAACCAGTCAGATACATTTTGGACTGTGCCCTTTACACATCTTCCAATCACGACATCGGGGGGCGATACAAAGATATTTTGGCACCTGTTTCCACCACGTCACTTTGCCCCTGAACAATGTTTAATCAAAAGAGACAAAGGTCACAGACAGGGCATGGCAGACTACTCAGAGAGCAAAGGTTAGATAGGGGGCATGATGTTCAGACAGCTGTGGCTCGTCTGCGGGTGGAAGTGTGCTCCACACCTGGCGGTCATTCCTTCACATCTAAATATATATTAATTCGTGGCAAAGATCAAGAGATCGCTCTGAGGGAAACTAGTAAATGGTTTGGAGCGTTCCAGTTTCTCTTTTCAGATTGACTTAAGTTCCATTGTGTGTAACAGAATGTAGCACAGCAGTCTATTAAAGAGCCTCGTGCTTTCAGTGTTTCTAAATGCTTAGCTTTGGGACATAGACAGCAACAGCTCCCCGGTGTTCTTCCCACTCACCTTCTCCAGAGTGACCCTAGGAGCCCATCCTCAGTGGCTGACTCTCCTCTTTTCACCCCGATAGTCTCCAATCAGCACAAAGGGCAAGAAGATGTCTTCTCAGTGCCAGAAATCTCCCCTTCCATGCTGACTGGGCAACTCTAGGGCAAGGGAGGCAGAGATCCTGCTGGAACCCTACTGCAGAAGGAGCAATGGGTCTTCAAGCCCCTTGCAATCCCAGATCGCTAAGCCTCTGCTAGAAGGGCCCATAATCACTTCCAAATTTTAACTGCATCAAGCAAGCACTCACTTTCTTTCCTGATTAGTTCCACCCACCCACCCCCGTGTGTGTGCTTGATGAGGTGATGACTTAAATGAAGTGTCAGAATAATAATAATAATAATAATAATAATAATAATAATAATAATAATTTATTTATACCCCGCCCTCCCCAGCCAAGACCGGGTTCAGGGCAGCTATCACCGAATATAAATACAGTAAAAACAAAATAAAACAAAACCAAAAAACCCCAAAGAAAGTTGATTAAAATATAAGTTAGAGTACAGTTTAGAATGCAGCTTATTTATACCCCGGCCCATCTGGCTGGGTTTCCCCAGCCATTCTGGGTGGCTCCCAACAGATTAAAAACAGAATTAAACATCAAACATTAAAAACTTCCCTAAACAGGACTGCCTTCAGATGTCTTCTAAAAGTCAGATAGTTGTTTATTTCCTTGACATCTGACGGGAGGGTGTTCCACAGGGCGGGCGCCACTACCAAGAAGGCCCTCTGCCTGGTTCCCTGTAACATCACATCTCGCAGGGAGGGAACCACCAGAAGGCCCTCGGAGCTGGACCTCAGTGTCCAGGCTGAACGATGGGGGTGGGGACACTCATTCATATATACTGAGCTGAGGCCATTTAGGGCTTTAAAGGTCAGCACCAACACTTGATTACTTAGATGAGGTGTCAGATTTGGCCAGGTGGTGGAGGAATGCAGTGGGTCTCAAGAACTCCAGATACAATCAAATCCTTTCACGAAATCAACCCTATGCCCGCTGGCTTCTCTGCCCTCAAAGTCCCTTCACTGGTTTGTGAGCCTGAAAAGGCAGCAAGCTCCCCATGGATAAGTCTTTTGCGCCCACCCATAAAAGTGTCATTTGCTCTTGCCGGGTGTCAGAAGATCTATCTCCTTCCTTTTAAGTGCTTAGAGGAAATAAAAATGCATGCTGTTCACGCCAATACAGAGATCAGCGTGGTGTCGAGAAACATTTCTGGAAGGCGAGGACAGCGTGTCTCCATTGTCCTGTTGGACTGGAGATGAGTCACCTCACGAGCCGTTGGTCGGGTCACTCAATGTACGAGAAAGATGCTCTTTTTCATATCACCCTGACTTTCCTTAGGGTGAGGCAGTTAATTCTAAATACAGTGGCACCTCGGGTTACACACACTTCAGGTTAAATACGCTTCAGGTTACAGACTCTGCTAACCCAGAAATAGTACCTCGGGTTAAGAACTTTGCTTCAGGATGAGAACAGAAATTGTGCTCTGGCGGCACAGTGGCAGCAGGAGGCCCCATTAGCTAAAGTGGTGCTTCAGGTTAAGAACAGTTTCAGGTTAAGAACGGACCTCCAGAACAAATTAAGTACTTAACCCGAGGTACCACTGTACTCATCAAAATGCATGCCCTCTGTTCTTCCTCGCTCTGTGTGTGTTCCTGCTTTTTGATGCTGCTGTTGTGGCATTTATTGTTCTTAGGAGCAAATCATTTGCACATTATAAAACCTGCTGGTGGCAGATTAGGCTATCCACAATGGCCTACCTCCACTCTCATAGCCAGCGAATGCCAGTTGCTGCATGTCACTAGTAGGGAGAGAGGCTGTTGCACTCAGATCTTGCTTGTGGATTTCCCAAAATGGGAATCTACAAGATAGTGAAAACAGGAGGCTGAGCAGTATGGGCAGTAGGTCCAGTCGTGGCCAACTCTGGGGTTGCGGTGCTCATCTCACTTTATTGGCCGAGGGATCTGGCGTACAGCTTCCGGGTCATGTCGCCAGCATGACTAAGCCGCTTCTGGCAAACCAGAGCAGCACACGGAAACGCCGTTTACCTTCCCGCCAGAGTGGTACCTATTGATCTACTTGCACTTTGACGTGCTTTCAAACTGCTAGGTTGGCAGGAGCAGGGACCAAGTAATGGGAGCTCACCCCGTCGCAGGGATTCGAACCGCTGACCTTCTGATCGGCAAGTCCTGGGCTCAGTGGTTTAACCCACAGCACCACCCGCGTCCCCTCAGCAAAGAGTAAAGAGGAAGAGGGAGTGGTTTCTAAAGAAAAGCAAGTAGGAACTTCTCAATTCTTGGTAGGTTTGTGAGGATGTCTTGGCTCTCTCTCTAATGCTGCAAGGCATGTTGCAGCACAAATGGGGCAGGCAGGAGATGTAGCTCAGTGGCAGAACATCTGCTTTGCACACACAGGGTCCCATGTTCAATCCCCAACATCTCCTATTGCCTCTGCTTTGGTAATCTCCAGGTCAGATTATTTGCTATATGTGTAAGAGTTCAGGGAATCCAATCTCCCCCACAGTGGCAGCCAAGGAGCAGACAATAAAAGTTCTTACCAATTGATTTATTCACTATTCACAGAGAGAGCTGAAGGAATGCAGACTCGCCTAGATAATGGCATTGCTCCAAGTAAAGTCCCACCCCCTCCATCTATCCCAGGGGTCAGCAAATTTTTTCAGCAGGGGGCCGGTCCACTGTCCCTCAGACCTTGTGGGGGGCCGGACTATATTTTGGAAGGGGGGGGGATGAACGAATTCCTATGCCCCACAAATAACCCAGAGATGCATTTTAAATAAAAGGGCACATTCCACTCATGTAAAAACATGCTGATTCCAGAACCGTCCATGGGCTGGATTTAGAAAGCATTTCTGCCAGATCTGGCCCCCGGGCCTTAGTTTGCCTACCCATGATCTATCCTATTCTACATCACCCCTGTGTTGGCTAATCTGAGCTTTCTGCCTCTGAGCCTTCTGTTCGACCTTGCTCAATGCTTGCCTGGTCCTGGGAGGGGGGTCAGGAATGCTCTCCAAAGAAACTAAGCCTGTCAGTAGGATGCCAGGAAGCAGAAAAACTAGAAGAGTTCTTACCAGGCGGTTTATTCAATATTCACAGAGAGAGACAGAGTGCGGTCTCTCATAGTTATCGGCAATGCTCCAAGTCAAGTCCCACCCCCTCAGTCCCTCCTATTCTACATCACCCCTGTGCCGGCTGTGCTTTCTGCCTCTGAGTTCTCTGTTCTATTACACTCAAGGCACGCCTTGTTCTGGGAGGGGAGGTCAGGAAAGCTTTCAAGAGACACTGAGTCTGTCAGCTGTCTCTTCCCTGGTACTTCTTCTTCCTGCTGTTTCTCCTCCAATGTTTCCCAGCTTCTCCCCTCTGCAGCCTCTGAACTCTGCCCTTCTGCAAACCACTGTTCTGAATCTATACTGTCCTTCTGTTCTCGGGAAGGTTCAGGAGAAGGGGGGTGGTCCCCACTATTCCTCCTCAGTCCAGCCAGAGGTGTAGAAAGGGGGGTGCAGTGGGGGCGGACCGCCCTGGGTGTCATCGCTGAGGGGGGTGACATTTGGCATGCCACACGCCTGCAACTCCTAAGCCTACCCTGAGCTGTCGGGCAAAGAGGGGGAGCTGCGCCGCTTTGCCGGCAGCCTTCCCCCCCTTCCCCCTTCGTTTTGACAGCTCGGGGGAGGCTTCGGAGTCGTGGGTGGGCGGCGCGCCTTTGCCCCACACTCCTGGGCCGCTGTAGGAGACAGGCAGGGCAGGCAGGGAGAGGACAGGAAGGAGGCAGGCAAGCAAACAAACAAGCAGAGTGGGGAAGGAAGGAGAGAAGCAAAAGCTCCCTCAACTCAGGACCCAAACCCTGGAACGCATAGGAGGAGAGGTGGGGTGTAAGA